GGAAGCCTAGAACTTTCAGATTCAGGATTCCCCAGTTGTGCCAGTTTACTATCCAAAATAAAAAGAACTTTTGAGATGTCTGTCTCCGAGTTATTGGTTGGAGTGGAGGTTGCTGGAATGCTGACATTGATATGTACAATGTTATAATGATGTGAGTATGATTAATGTAATTAAGGTTACCAAAATGGTCAATATTATTACTATTTGATAGGAAAATTAATGCTACCCAGATGCCACACTGTTAATGTATTCAATACTCATATATATTTTTTAAAAATAAATTATTTTAAAAAAGGAACTGCCCTCTGTTATGAAGGCTGGGGGAACAGACAGGGCAAAAAACCATGATCTTCTCAGTCTGCTGGCCTATTTCCTCTCCGCAGCCCCAAGGCCTCTACTTTCTGTGATCTCCATCTCCTACCCTTGCCCTGACATTAACTGATTATAGCCAGCAAAGGGATCCAAAAGCCAACAATTCCTACTCTGCTCAGAAATTTGAGGGATTTCTATTCCATTTGTCCTTGATCAGAGCTGAGAGGTCACAGTTGTGTCCATTTGCTCAGGCAAATTAACCCTTCAAAGGCAACTCTGCAGCCTCGAATCTGCTAAACCTGTCTTTCCAACCTCAACAACTTTAAGCTGTGCAGACTTGCTGGCTGGGGAATTCTAGGAGTTAAGTCCACACATCTTAAAGTTGCTGAAGTTAAGAAACACTGCTAAACTAAAGGTCTTCTGTAGTCACAACATAAGCCTAAGATTGAAAATCAGGCTTGTCAGATGATACATTTTTTCTATTCTGCTCTACGGAGTGGAGAGTTGATATCTGACAGAATGTCACTTGAAGGGACTAGAAGCATTTGAAATGTGGATTTACAGGCGGCTGTTACATATAAGTTGGGTTGACAAAATCAGAAATGAGGAGGTGATAAGCCGCCTGGCAAAGCCAAGGGAAATCATCCAAACCATAAAAAAGCGAAAGTTAGAATATTTTGGACATGTGATGCAACACCCAGAAAAATACAGCATACTTAAACCTCTAAGGAAAGAATGAAGGCAAACGAGGTCTAGGCAGAAGAACATCATGGCTTCAAAATCTAAGGGACTACTTTGGAAAAAACTCAACAGCACTTTTTCGTGCGGCTGTTGATAAAAATAGGATCGCCAATATCCAATGATGGATATTGCACAACAAGAAGAAGAAGCTAAACTATGGCAGCAAGAGAAATCTTGGAATGATTGAATTCTTGGATTTACCATTAAGTTTATGCTGATTCTGAGTTTAGTATAATTATTAACATTGAAAATGGATTACAATTGTGAGAATCAAGGATATAGCTTATTGATCTATTAGATTCAATAAGTCCTATGGATGATAGCAGGCCCCAGAAGAAAGAGACATGAACCAAAGTTTTCAGCTAGGATGGTTTCAAAATATACCAGAACTATTTGTAATCCTGCTGAGCCGTTGCTAACTGTGAAAACATATTTTTGCAAAGTATGCACTTGGATGGATAAGTTTAAAACAGGAACAATGAAGCTGTTGGAAATGAGGAACTGAAAGTAATGTACACAGGTGTTTAAGGAAAGTGACGGTTAGTGAAGTTGTGAAGCATGTATGTGGTTAGAAGAAAAGTATAAAGGTTGGAGATCAGCTCGGGGCCCTTTGATTTATGGCAATCTTTGCAGGACCTGCTATGTGTCATTGGACCCCATAGCAATGGCTTATTAATGTAAGTGTATTACTGCTATTATATCTTTTATATCTATTCATTTCTTATGTTCAAAATTATTAGAAACAATAAACCTCTGATCTTAAAGTAAGCATTTTTGTTTGTGTTGCTGTCAGTTTCCTATTGGTATTTTTTTTATGACACAATTTTCCCACATTAGTAGCCTGGGAAGAGATCTGTACATTTGTAAAAGTGCAACTAATATTAAATGTATAAAATATTGTTTTCAAAGGCTGAGCAATGTTTTTATCACCTGTACTGAACTAAAATAAGCTTATAAATTGGCCAGATGAAACCATTCATGTATGAGCATGAATGAAAGAGATTTTAAAAATTACACTCTATATCTCCAGTCTAATTGAAATTTATTGGCAATTAGTCAAATTCAAATTAATAGATGGAATGAGAAACCTTCTTCCATAGTATCAGAGACCACACAGCTAAATGCTTCCTCATTTAAAAATGATCAATTAATCTATAATATTAAAGCGTACATGGGTATTCCAATTATGGCAGCACACAATGTTATTTTAGCATAGAATTTAGATTTGGGGGGGTGGAAAATTGAATTTTTTAATAGTACAAAGTCCTGATTTTGCCTAATTCATAGTAGAGAATTTCAGAACAGCTAGCAAATAGCTGAAAATGTGTACTTTCCAAGTATCTTAGCTAAGCAGAATGTGAATACACTTTAGCCATGTGTATAATTTTAACACAAACTCTACGCATGTGTTAATTTTGGACTGTTTCTTTATCCAATGGTTAAGGAAGAAAACACAAAGAAAAACAATATAAACTCCGGCAATCAATGCCCAATTCTCTGCTATGCTTAGCACAGTGTTTCTTAGCCTTGGCAACTTTAAGATGTGAAGGCTGCAGCTCCCAAAATTCCCCAGCCAGCATTCTGTGCATTGAAGTCCACACATCTAAAAGTTGCCAAGGTTGAGAATCACTAAGTCCAATAACAGCACAAAATAAAGAAGTGTCAACTTGGAATGTATACAGGTAGTCTTCAACTTATGACCATTTGTTTAGCAACTGTTTGAAATTATGAAGGGACTTACGACTCATGCCCAAATTTACAGTAATTGCAGCCCCCCCTGCAGTCACATGATCAAAATGTGGGTGCTTGGCAGTCCACCCACACTTATGGCCATGGGGGGTGTGCAACTCCCACCCACCCATCTCCCTCCCCTATCTATGCCTTTCTGGGTCCCACCACTCTGCCTTGTTGGGCAGCAAGCAAACCCAAAGTTTTAGGCATGTGTTGCAAACACAGGCAGGTGAAGCAGGGTCCTAAAAGGAGTCAGGCAGGCAGCAAAGGAACAAAAAGGAGAAGCTGGCTTATTAATGGAAAGTAAAGTGAAATGAAGGAAGAAAAAATAGCCCAGCACTTAGGAGGAAGAGCCCAGCTAGATTAGGGCCCAACTCTGCATCCCAATGCCAAAGAGGCTTCCAAACAAGCCTAGATACTTGGCCTTGAGAAGCCCTGATGCTTTGAAACTCCAGGAAAGGACATTAGTGATCCATCCACTGGTGGTATTTTACAAAAGAATGAAGCTGCCTTGTGGGCTAGGCCTCTACCCCAATCAGCTGGCAGTCGAGAGACTTTAGGCCAGTGGTGGGATTCAAATTTTTTTACTACCATTCTGTGGGCATGGCTTGGTGGGCATGTCAGGGAAAGGATACTGCAAAATCCCATTCCTTCCCCACCCCACTAACCTGCTTTCCAGCTCCGTTCTCCTGTGCTGGGCAACAAAAGAAGACCCAGCTGATCAGCTGGGACTTGGGAGGCAGAGAATAGATGGGAGCAGGGGCAGTCAGAGGTGGTATTTGCCAGTTCTCTGAACTACTCAAATTTTCCACTACCGGTTCTCCAGAACTGGTCAGAACCTGCTGAATACCATCTCTGCTTCAGGCCTCTCCTAGCTCTTGCTAGGCTTTGGGGAAGTGAGTCCCCTGAATGCAGAGGCAGCAGCTCGAGGACTGGCTTCTCACAAGTTTTCCCTTGCTTAACCCCCTCCCTCCCCCACAAACCCACATTTTTTCAATAAAGAAAACAAAAAAGCTGGGGGGACAGACGATCTTTCACCCTCCCCCCCCCACTAATGCTAAGCTCTCTGCCTCTGCCCTCTAATGTTGATCCCCTTTAACCACTTAATTTGCTAAAATTACTTCTGCTCTGCTTAATGACCTACATGCTCATTTTATGACCACATCAGGAAGAGAAGGGGGTGAGCCCAACTTGCGTAACAGCCATTGGAAGTTGCAACCCTAATGGGCCAGTTCCATTACGGCCGAGGACTACCTGAGTATTCATGTCTATGGAGATTCTTAGTCATCCAGGTCATGGTCATTCCAAAGGTGCTTTTTCAAGGGGCAACTGGACTTTCTGGTTTTTCACTGAAGATGTTTCACTTCTCATCCCAGAAGCTTCTTGGATGAGAAGCAAAACATCTTCAAAGGAAAACCAGAAAGTCCAGTTGCCTCTTTGAAAAAGCATATTTGAGATGACCTGCATATTCAAGTAACCAAAAGCTGAAGCAGAGTAAATTATGCATATATTCACTTATTCTGCCTGATTTACCTTTAATCTACCAGATTTTGTGGAAAGCCTGGAGTAAAGAGATCTACAGAAAGATATGGACTTTTCAAAACAGAAAATATTATAGTTAGTCCTTGCTTAATTACCCTAATTGGGACAGAAAAATCTGTGGCTAAGTTAAGTGGTTGTTAAGTGAATCATTATGTGACTGTTCCCTTAGTGATGTCAGTTTCAGTAATCCCAGTTGCAGTCTTTAAGTGAGTAACCTGCAATTGTTCAGCAAGACATGACTACAACTTGCAACCTCTTGCTGGCTTCCCCATTTTTACCCAGGGGTGTCAAATTCGCATCGTCATGACATCATCACATGATGTAGTGTGACTTTTCCCCCCTTTGCTAAACTGGGTGTGGCCAGCAACCCACAAGCCACGAGTTTGACAGCCCTGACTTTACCTGTCCAAAGTTGGCTGGGGAGGCAATCACGTGAATGTAGGATGCTGCAACTGTTGTAAAAACACTAATTGTGATCATGTGACCACAGGGACACTGAGACAGTCATAACTCACTTTTTTCAGCTCCGTTGTAAATTCAGTTGCTAAATGAATGGTTGTTAAGTGAGGACTACATGTAATTCAAAATAAAGAACGAAAAGTAGTATGTAAAATTATGTATTGTGTCAATACTGTCAAATAGAACTGTCTACCCTATTTGCCAGTACAATTTACCAGGAATTTCCGCTTCTGTTTCCAATGGCTGCCTTGGGCGTTGGTACTGCAGTGTGCATCTGTAGCGATGTGGATCAACTCCCATTCATCTGCTGTTGGTTCTAGCCGGTGCTGAAGGGATTTCATCATTTCCTCTTTGCGCCGTCTCTCCCGGTTCTCTTCAATCAGCTTACGTTTGGCTACTCTCTTGGAGTCATCCAGCACCACTAGGAGGGTGGTGAAGAATGAAGAGGTATGAGGTGGGGGGGGCGCTCACATAGTCAATCAGAATTCTGCAACCAATTTGGCTGATTTTAAGGTGCCAAAGGGAACTATGAATAGCAATTTGATAGGCTGGCTTATACTTAAAACCCTATGGAATACTGTGATGTCATGGTATCCCAAGGACTCAAACTGTAGGGATTCAAAGATGATCCCCGTGTAATTTTACACACCAAATAATTATTTCCCTCTTTTGATTCTCCAAAGTGTGTCCATTTTGGGGCACATTTCTTCTCTATTATTTGGTAATAGCCTGTAACCACTCCCAACCCCCCTAGTTCTCCAAAGTGGGCGCAATGCCCTTACAGTCCATGGCCATGCCAACGGCAATGCACTTCTTGAATCGGCAAAGCTGACACTGGTTGCGATTGATCTTATCGATGACACAGGAGCCATCATATTTGCAGGAGTATGTTGGATGCAGATTTTTCTGAATGGTCCGTCGGAAGAAGCCCTGTAGAACAGAGAATACAGTCAGACTCAGGCAACCCTGAGAAAGCAGAGCATGTATCCTTCCATTCTCAAACCATATTCCACTTTCCCCAACCCTTGAGCTTTTATATTCTACTGAACAGAATATAGTCCTGCTGTATGTAGTGTTATTGACCTTTCCAACTAAGTGGACCTTTTTCCTACTTTATCAGTGACAGACATATAATCATTGAGCTGACTGGGGCAAAACTACAGGTAGTCCTCCACTTACAACAGTTTGTTTAGTGACCATTCAAAAAAAGTGACAATTTTTCACACTTGTGACTGTTGCAACATCCCCATGGTCATGTGAATTACATTCAGATCAGGGGTGGGATTCTACCAGTTTGGACCAATTCTATAGAACCAGTTGTTAAGATTCTGTGCAGTTCGGAGAACCGGCAAATCATGCCACTGACTGGCCCCTCCCCCCCTCCTGTCAGATTTTTGGTTTCTAGCTAATCTAAATCGCTGTTGTACTGCTTTGCCTTTGCCCAGGAGGCTTCCCTGAGGCCCAGTCAGGGGTGGTATTCAGGGGATTGGGGGGTGGGGGAGAAGTGGCCTGACAGCAGAGCCGAACCTTCCTTAGGACTGAAGCTTCTATTTTTCAGTGCAGACTCAGGCAGCAGATTGCAGAAAGGTAGATCTGTGAGTGAATCTATGATTCTGCAAGCAACTGAATCTGCTTTGCCTTATTTTGGGTAATAGTTGCTCTTATATACATATGCAGGTCTTGGCGTGTTCAAGTCTTTTCCCATGTAAGAATGAGAGTATCTTGGCAACGTTTCGATGAGGTCCCACTTGCCATCTTCAGGCTGGTGCTTTCAGCTTTGTGCTTGTGCAAGCAAAGCATGATCGGAGCTGCCGTCTCCTTATATATACTGGTGGGGAGGTTGGCTGTGTTGTCATTTCTTGATTGGTTGATGGAGTTGATGTTTGCAGATTGGCTGGCTTTTTCGTAAGAACATGTGTGGCTGAGGTATTGGCTGTGTGTCTATCAGCCTCCTGTGTTGTAACAACCTGGGTAATGGGCTGTGTGATGACCTTCTGAGTTCTATTGTTTTGACATCCTGGGTCTTGTGCTCTAATCTCCTGGGTCGTAATGACCTGGGTCATGGGCTGTGTGATGACCTTCTGAGTTCTATTGTTGAACATTCTGGGTCTTGTGCTGTAATCTCCTGGGTCGTTGGCTGTGTTGCAACATCCTGAGGTTTTGTGGTGTAACCTCCTGAGTTCCGTGATGTGATATCCTGAGCTGTGATGTGACGTTCCGGGTTTTGGTTTGGCTCCAAGTTTGAGGCCTAGATATGTGTTCATGGCGTGTGTCCATTTGCTTGGTTTGGAGGTCGGGGTGTGTGGCAGCTGGTGATGCAGCCATGGTCTGGTTCTGGATGGTGGTTAATGTTAGTGTTTGGGGACAAACCCCCAAGCAGAGTATGCAGCAGCAGTCAAGCCAGGCAGCCAAATGAGAGAGGCTGGGCCCAAGAGTATACACACACTGGAGACAAACACTGTTTGTTGTTTTAAATAGTTGTTTAATCCATTCAGAGTTTAAGCATTGTCAATCAGTCCATATGTCATTCACAAATATATCCATCCAGTAACTTAGTCCATTGACTAGTCAGTACTATGTCCTTATCTGCTTGTAAATCTTCTCCTCCCGATACCTTTCTCTCGAAGACAACGCTGAGTATACACAGGATATCAGCTCGCCAAGGGAATAGTCCTTTTGTTCAGCAGAAACGGTATCCAGCACAGTAGCCAACAAACAGTATCAAGCAGACGTCTCAAACAGGAGTAAGCAGCAGGCAGGCAGAGAGCAGAGAGACCAGGGAGCAGGGCTGTTACGTTTCTCTTACTGCCTTTTATTGCTGCTTGCAACCGCACCCTTAATTAGCTAATTACATTGCAGTTTGGTGCTTAAAGCTACAGACACTTAAACCTAGGTTTATATATTTATTCACCCAAACCTAGTTGGTGTATCCATATACCCAACATTCTCCCCTTTTGGGTGATATAAATATATAATACCTTTACAATCTAAACCCATACTTTTCACAACTCTCTAGGTGCTTAATGGCACCTTGGGCTTTAGTAAAATTATCAGCTATATTGTCCTCCGACAAGCAGTACTTCAGCTGTATCATTTTACTCTTTACAGATTGTCTAACGTTTAGGTACCTTAAATCCGTATGCTTGCTCCTAGTTTTTACTGCAATATTCGTGGCCATTTGAATTGCTGCCTGATTATCTTCATGTACAATTATAGGATAATTTACAGTTATACCCATATCATTCATCATTTGTTTATACATAATTAATTCAGTACATAATAGCGATAAACAGGAGAATTCTGCCTCCATAGTAGACAAACTTATATGCTGTTGTCTTATTGACTTCCAACCTATTAATGTCTTACCCAGCATTATGGCTGTTCCTGAAGTCGACTTTCTTGTGTCTCTTTCTGATGCAAAACTAGCATCTGCATAAGCACTCAGTATGAGATCACCTTTTGGTTCTAGATACAGTGCATGGTGTAATGTCCCTTTAAGATATCTTAAGATTCTCTTCAATGCTATCCAATGACATTGAAGCGGATCATTATTATGTCGTGCCAGTTGATTAATACTATAAGCTATATCTGGCCTTGACCAATTGCTAATGTATGATAAGCTACCAATCAAAGATTGATATAATACCTTATCAAATTTGGGACTTTGAGCATCCATTTTGCAAATATCCTGACTCATTGGAGTCTTTGCAGGCTTACAAAGTTCCATCTTATAATCTATTAGCAATTTAGATATCTTATCTTCCTGAGATATCTTAAAACCTTTCTGTGTTTTCAGTATATTCAAACCTAGATATCTCTTTATCTCCCCTAATTGCTTGATTTTTATTTTCTTGGCTAATGATGCTATTATTTTATTGGCTTCATCATTAGTCTCAGTAATCAAAGCAATATCATCAGTGAATAATAATAATAATGATATTTTCCCATTCGTCTCCCTTTTAAATAGACATGGATCGGCTAAACCAGCTTTAAACCCTATATTGTTTAACTCCTTCACAATATACTGGTTCCATTCATAGCCAGATTGTTTAAGACCATAGAGGCTCTTCTTTAACAACCAACAATCATTATTATTTTCACCTTTAAATCCAATAGGCTTTTTCATATATACAGTATGTCTTAGTGGAGCATGCAAGTAAGCAGTTTCCACATCTAGATGGTTAACTATATATTTCTTGCTTGCTGCCCACACTAAAGCTGCCCTTAATGTTGCTGCTTTAAGACTAGGTGCAAATACCTCATCATAGTCATTGGCACTTTGTCTAAAACCTTGGGCTACTAATCTTGCCTTATGGATTATATTTCCATCCTTATCAGTTTTTATCTTAAAAATCCATTTGCAGCCAATGGGTTTTATATCACCAGGTAATCTCACATTTTCATATACCTTCATATCTTTTAAGGATCTCAATTCCTTATTCATTGCTGCATACCAACTTTCCTTATCTTTAGAAGGATACATTTTTATTTCATCCACAGTATATGGAACTCTATTTTCCTGGCACACTGTGTTAGCCTGGTATCTATCAAGCGGTCTAGATATTCGTGTAGTTCTTCTGGGAATTACAGGGCTTGTATGAGGACTTTTTTGAGTTACTACCTGTTCATGTTCCTCAGCTTGCTCAGCTATTTCTTCCTGTACGGGCTCTATCTCTTCCTGTACTTCTCTCTTTACTTTATTTTTAAAGTTACAGGGATAATTAATGGGATTTCTATAGGATTCATTAATTACTTCTTTATTGTTATCCTGTTCTAACTTATCCCATCCTACGTGCTCTAGAAATTGGGCATTGGCACTACATAACACCTTAGATGTGCCTTTCTCCCAAAATCTATATGCCCTATGGTTTGCTTGGTAACCAACGAAGAATAGTTGTTTAGCTCTGTGTTGCCCTTTACGCCTGAGTTGTGTAGGGATATGCACCCATGCTGGTGCACCAAATGTGTGCAGGTAACTCAGATCAGGCTTCCTGCCATGCCACATGGTGAATGGTATTTCACCAGTAGTTGTGTTAACAACGTTGTTCAATATGTTATTAGCACACATTGTGGCCTCCCCCCACAAAGAATCAGGTAATCCAGAATCAGTTAACATTGTTCTAACCATTGCCTGTAGTGTTTGGCCTCTTCTCTCAATAAATGCGTTGTGTTGTGGTCTGTATGGTGCAGATTTCTTGTGCTCTATTCCAGCTACCTTTAATCTATTCTGGAATTTGCTGTTAACAAATTCCGTACCATTATCTGTCACCAAGGTTATCAGTTGCCGTTTAGTTTTTCTTTCTGCAAACTTTAACCAGTTGAAGAAATGTTGATATGTTTCAGTTTTGCTTTTCATTAGGTAGCAAAACCCATATCTAGAATAGTGGTCCATAATGCTCAGTATATATCGAGCACCCCCCATACTGGGTTTCTTTGGACCTATAATGTCTGCAAATACTACTTCTAAAGGTTCTTTAAACCTAGGTTTATATATTTATTCACCCAAACCTAGTTGGTGTATCCATATACCCAACAGTTGTCTTTCATCTATGGGATGGGTTTGGGTTCGAGTCTGGTGAGGGAGAATGGTGGTGGTGTCATGTTTTGGGTCCAGTGTTGGTTTTCGTGGCTGGCACTCATTTGTTGATAAGGGCTAGTTTCCAGATGTCTGGTAGGCAGAAGGCATCATCCCGTTTATTCATGTTATGGGGGTGTTTCTCTATTTCGATGGCTTCCCTGATTATTCTCTTGTTGAAGTGTTCAGTATTGGAGATTAATTTGGTTCCCTCAAAATTAATTTCATGTCCTGTGGCTTTAAGGTGTTTAAGGTGGCTTTAAGCTAGCCTAACCAAAATTAACCCAGATGTAGCCAATAAAATCAGACTTGAAGTCACCAACGTCCTCTGCTCCAGCAGTCCACCCAAAAGCAACTTACACAGAGAAGAACAAAAAGCACTCACCAACTTGAGGAAAGACAACAACATAATCATTCTCCCAGCAGACAAAGGCAACACCACAGTTGTGATGAACACATTGGACTACCAATCCAAACTATCCAACCTACTCCAAGACCCCACGTACAAACCTCTAAATACTGACCCCACCACCAACCTGGAAAAAACCACCAAATCCAAAATAAAAGCCTCCCCCATCATTGAAGAGATCCAGCAAAGAATCATCCCCAGAGAAAAATCATCCAGATGCCCTAAACTCTATGGCCTCCCCAAGATACACAAAGAAGGAACACCACTCAGACCCATAGTCAGCTCCATAGGCTTACCTCTACAAAATCTTGCCAAATTTTTTGCCAAACAACTCCAGCCCTACACAGAATCCATCACCTCACACGTACAAAACTCTTTCCACCTCATAGAAACAATAAAGAAACAAAACCTACAACCCAGTGACCTACTCATGAGCTCTGATGTCATATCCCTCTTCACCCAAGTACCTATTAAAGAAGCTTTGACAGCCATCCAAAACAAATACAACCCCCCTAAGCACATCCTAGATCTGACCAACCACTGCCTAACCAACACATACTTCATCTACAATGGACAAAAATACAAACAGATAGAAGGAGTACATATGGGATCACCCCTCTCACCCATCATCGCTGACCTATACATGGAACACTTTGAAAACAACGCTCTAGACAAATCCGAACACAAATGTGAGAAAAGTCATAAAATGAGCAAAACTCAACAAATTTCTCACTTAGCAACATAAATTTTGGGCTCAATTGTGGTCGTAAGTTGAGGACTACATGTACATCATTTTAGTGTTTGGAACAGTGGTTGCTGCCAGTGTTAATTAGTGGATTTTATGTTCCATGTGTTTTTATGGTTCTAAGCCAAGATATACCTTGGGATATTCTGGTACCATTGCTTCTTGGGAGTGAGTACAAGACACAGTTTACCAGCAAACTGGATCCTTCAGAGTTTCCATTTATTTAACTGAGCCTCTTGAAATAAACTCTCCAAAGGATTGCACATGTGAGCTACTTCTTTATCTCTCCCACTACCAACCTTAAATGTTTATTAAGCCTACTATTAGCTTTTAAACTTTTTCAGCCTAGGACCTAATTCCACAGTTCAACCGAAAGCTGGCTGGCATTTTGCTGCAATTGAACGATTTATGATGCCACTTGAATTTTCTGCCCAAGGCACTAAAAAAGCTGTATCTGCCTGCAATTTATTTGTTTTCTCTTTAAGTCTGTGTTTCCTTTTATGGATTTCAAGAGGCCACAACAGATAACACATTGCAGCTCCCAAGTGAAAGGCAGCTCTGCAGTAGCCTTATGTACGAAGAATGGAGTTCTTCAGGCACAGTTCCCAATTACTACAAAGAAGTTAATTGTAGGAAACATTCTGAAGACTGATTCCTATATATTGTTCATGGCTGTAGAGCACAGGTGTCAAACGTGCAGCCATCATGTGACGTTTCATGTTTTTCCCATTCATGGAGTGGGGGTGGCCGTGGCCTGCATGTGATGCATCCACCCTGTGGGCCACCAGTTTGATACCCCTGCTGTAGAGTGTCCTGTATATTTTCTGCTGCAGGCCCCAGTGTTGACTCTAAACCAACTTAGGCTCTTATTGAGTTAATTCTCCCATGCCCTGTCTTTGGGGGAAAAAACCTTGTTTATCTGAAGAAATCCCCTTGTTCATCTTACAATCTACTACACGGGTGTCAAACTTGATTGCGTCACGTGATGTCATGTGATGTATCACGTTTTTTACTGTTTCCTGTCATCACTCATCCGTCTTCAGTCTACAACACAGTCCTTTCAACAGTTCCAAGAAAACTCCGCACCCATTTGCACTACTCAGGTGACCCTAAGGGCACAGATAAACCTCCAGGTGGCCTCAACTACTCTCTAAAAGAATGCAAATGACCAGCTGTCTGCAAGGAGTATAAATCTTTCCATTCCCCACCATCCAGTCAGAGTTGAAGAAGCTTTTTGGATGAGAAGCAAAATGTCTTTGAAAGAAAAACCAGGAAGTTCAGTTGCCTCTTGAAAAAAGCATCTTTGGGACATTGCTGTATAACTGAGGATGACATTAAGCTGCCTCAGGTATGACTTGAGGATCAGGTGAAAACAATTTTACAAGGATATGAGGAAAAGGTTGCTGAGTCATATTGCTGCATGATTTGAGTTGAGGCACACCTTTTTCAAGCATTTTTTACCTTGCAGCCTTCACAGGTAATACAGCGGTAGTGGTACCCTGTGGCTTTGTCTCCACATACAACACACTGTTCATCTTTGTCCAAATAGCTAGGGATGTACCCTGTAGAAGAAAACAGCCAAGATTTCAAAGCTGGAAAAGGAAACAGCAGCTGCAAGATGTTAAGACCTACTGAAGTAGACTATGAAGTATTCTTGCCCACCACTCTCACTCCATAGAAAAACAGAGCAAGATAGCAACAGCCTTGTGGCTACTTACTACTATCTGTTAGATATATTTGTCCTTTGATCATAAAGTTATAGTTCATTCCCACTATTATTTCTTTAAAATTGAAATTTAGACACCATTTTACAAGTCAGTTCAAGTTCTCTGTGGTTTGTGTTTCACAAAATGATCGGAACAAAATCAGTTAAAGCTTGATATAGTACCAGCTTTATAAGAACATAAAGTACAAGCAGCCACATTTGCTACTCTGCAGTGCCTTAGAAGAATGTCAGGATGCAAAATCCACTCGATGGACAACAGGCAGAAACTGGAGGCTGAGAACTCTATGGCCCACCTTCCATCAGAGTATTTGCTATATGACTGACTGTAAAGCTAGTGCTGCTGGTGCTGGGGGAGCAAAGCATAGTGAGTGTTATGTCCTGAGGACTCAAGGAGTTCTCACTCTGGTCCACTCACTTTGTGTGGGCGATATTCCCCCATTCCCATTGGTTGGTTCTCCCCAGCAGCCAGCTATAAAAGCAGGCTGCGGGGTCCAACTGGCTGCTGATTGCTGCGAGCCAGTTCCAGGCTTGGCAAGCACGGTCAGCCCTTTATTTGTAAATAAAGTACTGTTGCACTCATGCTCTGGTTCAGCCTCTCATTGCTCAAACTTAACACTGGCGACGAGGATGGGATGGCTACCAGATGCACCTTGCAACCGCTGAGTCACTAGCCACCGATCCGCAGTCCAGAGAGAGCGATCGGCTGGCGATAAGGGAAACGCTGATCCGCAGCCAGAGAGAGCGGTCAGCTAACAAAACGAGCGATCAAAAAGAGCAAACGCAGATCCGCAGCCAGAGAAGCGGTCTGAGTCAAAAAGTTAGAAGCGTCTGTAGCCGCTTGTTAGCCCCGCTACGGGGAAAGTGAAGCGCTGCGAGCCGCAGCCGCTCTGCATTTGGCGCGAAATTCAAACGGGTGTCATTTGAATTTCGAGCCAGTAGGAATCACAGCACAGCGCTGTAGAGAGTCACTAACGCCCACTTTTTTTTGGCGCGAATCTAGACACCTCCAACGGCTAGCAGCCAACGTGGTAACCCAGAGAGAGAGAGAGAGAGGTTAGCAAAAAACCTCTCCAGAGCTGATATCACTAGTAACTCACGAGCGCTCGTAGTCCCAGAGAGATTTTTTCCGCAGGTAGCCCAGCCGTTCCAGCACCATGAGTTCCAACCCAGTATTCCCAGCGTTTAAACCAGACGAAGAGAAGTGGGAATCGTATAAGAACCGTTTCAATCATTACATCGATGCGGTCGGCCTGGCGGATGCGGGAGAGCATCGGAAAAAATCCTATTTCCTAATCTACTGCGGAGCCACCGTTTACGATACCGCCGCAGCACTCGTAGCGCCGAGAGAATTGAAAAACATTCCGTGGTCCGAGTTGCTTGAGATCCTCACTAACCACTACGCTCCCAGGCCTTCACAAATCGCCAGGAGGTTCACGTTCCGTATGAGGAAGCAATCAAGTAAGGAGACCATCAATCAATATATGGCCGCCCTCAGAACAGCAGCCCTGCACTGCGGGTTTGGAACATACCTGGAGGACATGCTCCTCGATCAATTAGTTTGTGGGGTCAAGGATCTCAACCTACAGAGGCGACTGCTAGCTAAAAAAAGACCTCAACCTTGCGCAAGCGGTAGAGGAGGCCCTAGCAGCCGAGCTAGCAACGAACTCAGCCACCGAAATTCAGGGCCCAAGTGCCAAGCTAGCATCGTTCCCAGTCCATTCCGAAGAGGTGGAAGCGGAGGAAGCCCACAATGATGAGAACGATGTCCATCGCCTCACCAATGACAGACGGTCGCAGGTAGGGGCCAAACAAGAATACACCGGTCCACCCAAGCACATCACGCTGTGCCTAGCCTGTGGGGGACCACATCAAAGGGCCACCTGCAAGTTTAAAGGAGCCGTTTGCAACAACTGCCATAAGAGGGGGCACATCGCGAGAGTCTGCCAAGCCCCCCAAAGCGCTGCACACAGACCCCCGTCCTCGCACTCGGGACCACAGAGGCAAGTATTAAACTGTCGCACGCACCGCCTTGCCAGGCATACTTGCCACACTGTTAGTAAAATTTCTCTCTCCGTTTCCCTAGAAGGTAAACCGTGCCACATGGAGGTGGACACAGGGTCAGCGCTCTCAATAATCTCGTGGAACACCCTCAAGAGACTCCACCCCAGCATATCTACTACCCGGCTTCAGAGATGCCAGTTCGGTCTGAAGGACTACCAGGGGAAGGCCATTCCCGTGATCGGCAGAGGCAAGTTCTTTGTCAGTTTTAGAGCTTTTAAAGGCCACCTACCTCTAGTGGTAGTTAACGGCAACCTACCCACCTTATTGGGGCTCGATTGGTTTCCCCACCTCGGCCTAGGGTTAACAGGAGTCCATGCTGTCTCAACCTCAGACACTGACTCCTTATTCGCTGACTACGCAGATGTGTTCAGCGAGGAGCTGGGGTGTTATAATGGAACCCCCATCTCGTTCACCGTTGACCCCCAGGCAGCCCCAATCAGATTAAAACCACGTAGGGTTCCATTTGCTATCCGACCAAAACTAGACGCTGAATTGGATAAACTACTAAAACAAGGGGTCATTGAGCCAACAGATTTCGCCAAGTGGGAGACGCCCATTGTCACACCCCTCAAAAAAGATGGTAGCCTGAGAATTTGCTCGGACTACAAGACAACAATCAATAAATATTTACAAGTTAGCGCCTACCCTGTGCCCGTCATTCAGCACTTATTGCACACATTCGAACCGGGCAGTATTTTTGCTAAATTGGACATGTCTCAAGCATATCAACAGTTCCCTGTTGATAACCAAACAGCGGAACTTCAGACCATCGTCACTCACAGGGGTGCCTTCCGATGCAAGCGTCTCCAATTTGGCGTAAGTGTTGCCCCGGGTATTTTTCAGTCCCTCATGGAGCGGATTTTACAGGGCCTCCCTGGTGTAGTACCCTACTTCGACGACATCTTGGTCTCGGCCAGGGACAGACCCCAACTCTTCCAGAGAGTGCGAGCAGTGTTAGAGAGGTTCAGACAGCATGGCCTCAAGTTAAAAAAAGAAAAATGCGCCATTGCCACTAGACAGGTGGACTTTCTGGGTTATAAAATTGACGCCTCTGGCATTCACCCCCTGGAGTCCAAGGTCAGGGCGATCCACGAAGCTCCCACACCGACCTCCAAAACGGAGCTACAAGCTTTCTTGGGGCTCCTAAACTTTTATGCATCCTTCTTGCCCCATAAAGCCTCAGTAGCCGAACCCCTACACAGATTACTAGACAAAAAGTCACCGTGGCACTGGGGGCACAAAGAAGACCAGGCGTTCAACGCCGTCAAATCACTACTTACGTCAGAGGCAGTGCTCATCCAATTCGACCCCAACCTTCCTTTAGTACTGGCAGCAGACGCATCCCCTTTTGGAATTGGGGCGGTCCTTAGTCACCGACTCGCCAATGGCGCCGAGGCCCCCATCGCCTTTTTCTCCAGGACGCTCTCGGCCACGGAGCGAAATTACAGCCAAATAGACAAGGAAGCCCTAGCAGCTGTTGCAGCCGTGAAAAAGTTTCACGAATTCCTTTTTGGCCACTTCTTCGAACTGGTCACCGACCATAAGCCCCTCCTGGGCCTACTGGCCGGCGACAAACAGACACCTCAAGTCCTCTCCCCTCGAATGACAAGGTGGACACTTTTCCTAGCGGCCTACTCATACAAACTTATCCACCGCCCGGGCAAAACTCTATCCCACGCTGACGCGCTCAGTCGCTGCCCCTTACCCGCTCCGGCTGAAGACCCAGCTCCTGTCAATGCCATTTTTGAAATCACTCAGTTGGACCTGCCCATCACCGCCCTTGACATCGCCGCCAAAACCAAGGCAGACCAAACGCTCGCCCAGGTGCTCGACTGGGTGAGGAGGGGGTGGCCGGGAGGCAACGTTGATAACATATTCGCACCCTTTAAGACTCGCATGCAGGAGCTGTCCAGTTTGCAGGGTTGTCTACTGTGGGGCACTCGAGTGGTCATTCCGACCTCACTGCGTACCCGAGTCCTGGAGGCGTTGCACGAGGGACACCCCGGCATTGTGAGAATGAAGGCGTTGGCACGCAGCTACGTGTGGTGGCCGGGTCTAGACGAGGACATTGTCAATTGGGTAAGTTCCTGCAGCATTTGCCAGGAATCCCGTCCTGCTCCCCCCATCGCCACCCCTACCAGATGGGAGAGCGCCAGCGCCCCTTGGTCTAGAATCCATATCGATCTGGCCGGCCCCGTGCATGGAAAGATGTTCCTAGTGGTCGTGGACGCCTATTCCAAATGGATAGACGTGGCACAGCTATCCACGACCACCACACTAGCAATCACCAACGTGTTAACGCGCCTGTTCGTTACACATGGACTACCCGACTCCTTGGTCTCCGATAATGGCCCACAGTTCGCATCAGTAGAATTCAGCCGTTTTGCAGCCAACCTAGGCATTCACCACATTTTCACAGCCCCATTTCACCCTGCGAGTAATGGGTTGGCTGAAAGGGCCGTCAGGACCACCAAAGAGGCCCTCGCTAGGTTTGGCAAAGATGACTGGCACCACAAACTCTCACGGTTCCTGATGAGCCAGCACTCAACCCCCTGTGCAGTCACCAATAAGTCCCCAGCGGAACTTCTGATGGGCCGGCGCCTGAGGACTGTATTAGATAGACTGCACCCACAATACTGCCCTGACTCTCCCCTCGCTTCCACTTCGGGGGTTAGACATTTTATGTTACAGGAGCCGATATTTGCAAGGAATTTCGCTGGGGACCCACTTTGGATTCCGGGCGAGGTCATCGCCGTCACCGGGCCGAGATCGTAT